CCAGTTCGATTCTGATCAAGGGCATGTACCTTGGTTGCGGGCACATCCCCAGGAGGGTGTGTGCAGGAGGCAGCTGATCAATGATTCTCATCGATGTTTCTAACTCTCTATCCCTCTCTTTTCCTCTCTGTAAAAAATCAATAAAAATATATTTAAAAAATAATAATAAAAATTAAAAAAAACCTTGCCGGCACTGGTTTGGCTCAGTGGATAGAGTATCGGCCTGCAGACTAAAAGGTCCCGGGTTCGATTCCGGTCAAGGGCATGTACCTTGGTTGCGGGCACATCCTCAGTAGGGGGTGTGCAAGAGGCAGCTGATCGATGTCTCTCTCATCGATGTTTCTAACTCTCTATCCCTCTCTCTTCCTCTCTGTGAAAAATCAATAAAATATATATTTTTTAAAAAATTTAAAAAAATCTTTATTGTTGAGCCCTATCCAGTTTGGCTCTATGGGTAGAGCATTGGCCTGCAGACCTAAGGGTTAGTCAGACTCCATTCTGTTTAAGAGCACCTACCTTGGTTCACAGGTCCTCCCCTGCCTAACCCCTGGTGGTGGTGTATGCAGGAGGCAACCAATCAATATGTTTCTCTCGAGTCCAGGTTTCTCTCTGTGTGTTCCTCTCTCTTCCACTCTCTCTAAAAACAAATGAGAAAATATCCTCAGGTGAGGAGTAAAAAAAAACAAAAAACCAATGGACATAAAACTCTGGGGAGGGAGGGAGGGAGGGGGGCAAAAAAAAAAATCAAAAAAAAAAAATATATATATTTAAAAAAAAAAAGACTGAAAAAAAAAGAAATAAAGAGTGTTAGTGTTGCTGTGGGTGTGAAAGTGCCCACAAAACAACAATCACAGGCAATTGAAAAGGTAGAAAAACTGGTTAATTAGATCAACAAAAGCCAGTGATAACATTTCTAAGATAGCTTTCTATAAAAATCCTTTAAAAATAGGTGATTGAGCCGAGACCGGTTTGGCTCAATGGATAGAGTGTGGGCTTGGGGACTGAAGGGACCCGGGTTCGATTCCGGTCAAGGGCATGTACCTTGGTTGCGGGCATATCCCCAGTAGGGGGTGTGCAAGAGGAAGCTGATCGATGACTCTCTCTCGATGTTTCTAGCTTTCTATCTCTCTCCCTTCCTCTCTGTACAAAATCAATAAAAAAATATATTCAAAAATAGGTGATTGAGATCAATTTAAGAAGTGTTTAATTATAGATTAAATACTACATGAGACATGTACTATGTATATAAGAGACATTAGAACAGAGAATCATTTGAGGGTCTGGAAGGTATTTATTCAATTTACATTATTTCTAATGGGAGAAATATGATTCAGTTTTTAAACAGGTAGGCTTTTCCAACAGCCTACCAGGATAGATTAAGTTAGGCTCCACTATATATCAAAAATTACTTGCTTTTCATTTACACTTCTTTTTTTAAAAAATATATATTTTATTGATTTTCTACAGATAGGAAGAGGGATAGAGAGAAACATCAATCAGCTGCCTCCTGCACACCCACTACTGGGGATGTGCCCGCAACCAATGTACATGCCCTTGGCCGGAATCGAACCTGGGACCTTTCAGGATGCAGGCCAACGCTCTATCCACTGAGCCAAATCGGTTTCAGCTCATTTACACTTCTTAAATGCAGGGTATATTTAACTGTGTGCCTAAGTCGGTGGAATTCGGACCAGATTAGATTTGCTCTGAACACCAACCCATCTAGGAAAACTGATTTATCACATGCAAGAATGCAATTCAGGAATAGAAATTCAATGTGAGAAAAACCTGGAAAGCAGAAACACACACACATACACATACACACACAAACTAGCCTTTGAATTTGGTGAGCTATAACTAGTAAAGACAATTGAGCTTTCCCTTATAATCAGCACTGATGTAAGTTGAGACCAAGAAGAGGCTGAAGTGACCTCCATGTTGGGTCTTCTGGTTGCCATAGTGTCAAGGAACAGTAAATGCAGTATCATGATTTTTTTTTTCAACTCATATTACAAATTAACACACATTTGGAAGATCTCATTTCCCATTACTGTAACCTCTTTGTGATCCTTGCAATAGCTATATCTCCAATTATCTCCTAAGTCCTTGATTAAAGTTGTTAAATAATGAAAATATTTACCAGGCCTCTGGGTCTCCTTTAGGGACTGAGAGACTTTGGGCCACCTCCTTATATTGTGGGAGGCTCTCTCCAAGCCAATTAAGGAAGTTGTATCAATACCGGTTCTGAGCAACAGGGATCCAGGCCCATGGCTCTAACCTCTCCCCTGCCCTCCTGTACACAAACACTCCCACCTATCTCCGCCTGCACATGAACTTGGCTTCCCTGAGAAGAGACATACTGGAAGCAAGTCCACATGCAGCTCCAGACCAGTTCCATGAGGCCTTTGTCATCCGCTAAGTTCCAGTTGGGATCCTGGTTTCAGAAATTTTAGCAAGCATTCTATGACTTAGTACAAGACTCCTCATAATGAAAGCACGTATCCTCAAATAACCTGAATCCGAATTCGAATTCCCTCTGGTAGTGCAGACTGGTCCTTCCAGGGCAGCTGCACAGAAAGCAGTTTTTACCACCCACAGCTCTGGGCAACTGAGCAGTGGGTGTCAAAGGACCTTGACCTTGGCTTTACCCCATACCAATGTTCTCATTCCTGATTCCTGGAGGGTCACATCTGGATATCTAAAATTTTAAAGGGCTTTTAGGTGACTTAATGTTCTGACAAGGATCAGGAAAACATAATTGCATTTAAAAAATAAGCTAATTCCGAGTTTGAATTCCCTTTGAAGGAATTTCTCTCTCAGCAGGGCACAGAGTAGGCCCTCAGGAACCTAGTGGTCTTAATTCACTCCAGCCTCCTGCACCCACTTGGTCCCATATCCCAACTTACCAGGAGCAGACAGCTGAGGTCAGGTCTGCCATGCTAAAAGAAAAGGCAAATCTCACATAAGGATCTTTCTACACAGTCTGGCACAGGACTGCATAAGCCATGCATGACCTGACCCTGATGTTAATAGGTGGACCTACCTATTAACACATTGCCTGCCAAAGTCCAGTTGTTCCTTCTCCACAGGAGAGGGGTGAGCTAGAGTCAGAGGATTTTCAATGCTTTCATCAGGCCAGAAAGGATTCTCTCTGCTAATATGCATGGTCTAATTTGCACCCTGTTTATTCTCCCTTGATTCTCTCAGCATTATTTATTTATTTATTTATTTATTTATTTATTTATTTCTATTGAGTCCTAACCGGTTTGGCTCAGTAGATAGAGCCTGGGCCTGCCAACCAAAGGTTCTCGTGTTCGATTCAGAGCAAGGGCAGGACCCTGGTCAGGACTTGTGCATTGGTTAATCGATGTGTTTCTCTCACATACATGTTTCTCTTTGTCTTTCCCTCTCTCTACCACTCTCCCTAAAAATCAGTGGAAAAATATCATCATGTGAAAATTAACAAAAATAAATAAAATAAAAATACCCTTAATAATGGTTGGAAGCTCCAGCTGGTTTTGCTCAGTGGATAGAGCATGGGCCTTTGGACTGAAGGATCTGGGTTTCATCCTGGTTTAGGGCACATGCCAGAGTTCGGACTGATGATCAATGATTTTCTGTCATTATTGATTTTTCCATCTCTCTCCTCCTCTCCCTTCCTCTCTGAAATCAATAAATATATTTTAAAAATAGATGGAAGTAATCAGTTCCTTACTCTCAACACATGCAAAAATATTAGAAACCCACTTAGAGTTCTGCCATTCTATCTTCTCTCCCACATGGAATATGTGATGTACTTATGCATGAAAGCCACGTCCTGAAACATAGACAAAATTTGTAATAGATGTAAATATACAAAAACTTTATTGAAGCTGTGACTAACAATAAATACATTCTAATCCTAAAATTTCAGAAACACTTTAGAAAGAATTGATCAATCAAAATTCCATATATTTCACACTTTCGTTTGTTCCCACACATCTTGCTCTTGAAGAAAAATGAGCTGAAAAAGAGAGAAACATCCCAAGTGTTCAGATCATAGAAGTGCTTTTTACAAAATTTTGGTGCTAACCTAGGCTAGTGAAGCCCAGTTAGTTGGAGTATCCTTCTATGTTCCAAAGGGCGGGCAGGTTTGATCCAGATCAGGGCTCATACCCAGACTGGGATTCAATCCCCAGTCTGAGTGCAATCTGGAGGCAACCAATCAATGATCCCCTCTCACACTGACGTTTCTCTCTCTCTTCCTCTCTAAAAATCAACTGAAAAAAATTTGGTGCTAAATCACTGATAGTCATACAAAATTCTACCCAAAGACCTATGTACTACTTTCAACAATGTAGATTAAAATAAATCTATACTAATAAAAGGGTAATATGCTAATTAGACCAGGTTGACTAGACATCTTCTGGTCATCCAGTCCTCCTTCCAGACAAAGCCACTGTGGCGGGCCTGAGACAGATACAGTTAGGGTCAATCAGGCTGGCAGAGGAGGGCACTTAGGGGCAATGAGACAGGCAGGCAGAGGGGTTAGGAGCGATCAGGCAAGCAGGCAGATGAGTGGTTAAGGAGCCAGTGGTCCTGGATTGCAAGAGAGATGTCAGATTGCCAGTTCAGGCCTAATCCCACCTGACCAATCCCAGATTGGAGAGAATGCAGGATGGGCACAAATTTTGTGCACTGGGCTTCTAGTGTGTGTGTGTGTGTATAATACAAATAAGGTCCAACTGGTTTTGCTCAGTGGAGCTTCAGCCTGTGGACTGAAGGGTTTCAGGTACAAGATTCGGTCAAGGGCACATGCCTGGGTGGGGGCTGGATCCACAGTAGGCGACATGAAGGAGGCAGCTGATCGATGATTCTCATCACCAATGTTTCTTTCTCTCTCCTGTCCTATATGAAATCAATAAAAATACATTCAAAAGTAAAATAAAATAAAAATAAAATTCTATCTAGTGTCTGTGAATTACAGGAAGAAAATGAAACAAAGTGACAGTTCATCCTTCCTAATCTTTTAATGCACAGATAGTAAGAGGTTTGGGGTCACATCCGATATAGAAGTAAGGCTTTAGCACTTCAGAAAATGTGTCCCTGAAGGAATGGATATGAGACATGTCATTCAAACTATAAAAGGAAACCTGACCCAACTCATAGTCCAGATAGATGCCAATCCTTCTGGGCATTTCCTTCAGCACAAGGGTGACAGGAGCAGACCCTCCTGCCACATAGTCACCATCCTGCAGCTGAATCGTCCAACATCTGTTCTCCTGTCTTAGCAGGGGCTGCTTTTTCTCCTCAGAGAGGGAGTCTTTACAGACCCCCATGGCCCACTCAGGCTTGTCATCCACCTGGACCTCCCAGTAATGTCTGCCACAGTCAAACCCTTTAGTACCCAGGACAACTGGATCCACTTCAAATCCCTTCGGATTTTGATGAACTCTTTGCTTTTTCCTCACAAATGTCACAGATTTTTTATCCTCAGACACCAGCAGATTAGGATGTGCAGTTTCAGGATCTAGGGTAATTTCTTCTCTAAATCTCTGTATAATTTTCTGCAGGGCTGAACATTGTGGAGGAAGACTGAATTCTTCTCTCCTAAATTGGTAGCAATAGACACCTGGAGGTTCTAGTTTTTCACAACGGTCAAAGACATCTTTGATGTTCATCAGCAATTTCATATCTGACATCACACTCTTCTCTGCCATCTCCTTTAGTTGAACTTTAAGTTTGGAAATGTGGTCTGAAAATGCAGTTTTGTTTGCACTGAAATTCTGTTGAATGTGCTTCTCTTCTGCAGCTAGCCTTGAGAGAACTGCCTCTTGCTCATGCTCTACAGATTGTATCAGATTTTCAAATTCGGAGGCTAACTTATCTCTCCGGTTTTCCACCTTTTCTTTCAGTTCTGATAGTCTCCTGTCTTGGGTGGCTACTAGTTTCTGAATGTCTGCAACCTGCTTCTTCAGGGGCCCAATGTAACTGCTGAGCCTTTGCCTGTGATGAGAGGCAGCCTCCTCTATGGGCCTCACCTGGTGGCCCTGGTGGTCAGGGGGCTGAGTGCACAGGGCACACATCAGCTGTAGGTCCTCCTCACAGAAGAGGGTCAAGGCCTGGTTGTGCTTCTCACACAAGCGCCTCTCTTCTTGCTGCTTCATCTTGCCCCTGGTGATCTGGAGGAGCTTGGTGATGTCAACCATCCTTCCAAGCTGGATGTTGCTCCTCATGTATCTCTCTCTGCATCGGTGACGACACACAGGACAAGGGAACCTGTCCTCCTGAACAGCCCAAGACTGCTGGATGCAGGAGCAACAGAAGTTGTGCCCACATTCAATGGTGACAGGGTCTCTCAGGTCATCCAGGCAGATGGGACAGTTGATTTCTGTCTGGAGTACTGCAAGAGCTGCTTCAATTGCCATTGCGCCTGAGTGAAGGATGGGACTGAGGTGTGTTTCTTCAGGAGGTTGATTTCAGTGAAACCTCTCCACTGAAAAGCATTTGCACTGTCAGATCTCACTAGCTTTCCTGTGTAAATTCTATCAATTATGGGCAGCCCTTGGAGTCCGATGAGGTCCTTAGCTACAAAGGAAGGTCCCCAGAGGAGTTCTTCTGTCCACCTGCAGCCAATCAAAGTAGTTGGAGGACTATTGTCCTTGGCGGCTCAGAGGATATGAATCCAAGTTCAGCAATTCTCTTGGTCAGAAAGCAGTCATGACTCTTGGGTACCAATTGGTTCCTGGAGATGATAAAATACAATTTCATGTAAAAAAAAAAAAAAAAAAAAAAAAAAGAGAGAGAGAGAGAGAGAGAATAAGAAGAAGAAGAAGAAGAAGAAGAAGGATGAGGAGGAGGAGGAGGAGGAGGAGGAGGAGGAGGAGGAGGAGGAGGGAGGAGGGAGGAGGGGGAGGAGGGGGAGGGGGAGGAGGGGGAGGGGGAGGAGGGGGAGGAGGAAGAAAGAAGGAAGAAGGAAGAAGAAGGAAGAAGGAAGAAGGAGGAGGAAGGGGAAAGGAGGGAGGGAGGAAGAGAAAGAAAGAAAGAAAGAAAGAAAGAAAGAAAGAAAGAAAGAAAGAAAGAAAGAAAGAAAGAAAGAAAGAAAGAAAGAAAGAAAGAAAGAAAGAAAGAAAGAAAGAAAGAAAGAAAGAGAGAAGAGGGAGAGGGAGGGAGGGAGGGAGGGAGGGAGGGAGGGAGGGAGGGAGGGGAGGGAGGGAGGGAGGGAGGGAGGGAGGGAGGGAGGGAGGGAGGAAGGAAGGACGAACCAACCACTTACTATTTGCCTTGTGGCCCTACCCCGTTAACTGCCACCTTTGAGGGAACAATTGATTTCTTTTCCCCAGTCCTACAGGTCACCTATACTACATTAATAACTGTGGGTCTGCATGGAACTGCAAACGGTGTGAGAATGTTTCCTTCTAGATTCTCTGTCTGTGGGCTAGGTTTCAGCTTTAGTAACCTAATATCTAGGCGGTTAGGGAAAGTTCTTAACATCATTAACATTAAGAGAGTCAAGTTAACAAATGTAAAAATCCCAGCATCCATCACTTCCAGTTTTCGAAAAACCTCAGCAATGGATTTGGCACTTTTTGTTTTAAAATACAGTTATTTCTGCCAGGACCGGTTTGGCTCAGTGGTCGAGCGTCGGCCTGCGGACTGAAAGGTCCCAGATTTGATTCCGGTCAAGGGCATGTACCGTGGTTGTGGGCACATCCCCAGTAGAGGGTGTGCAAGAGGCAGCTAATTGATGATTCTCTCTCATCGATGTTTCTAACTCTCTATCCTTCTCTCCTCTTCTCTGTGAAAAATCAATAAAATATATATATATATATATATATATATATATATATATATATATATATATTTTTTTTTTTTTTTTTTTTTTTTTTTTTAAAGATAAAATACAGTTATTTCTGCCCTGGCCAGTGTGTGCCACTAATTACAGTGTTGACCCGATTACCCAAGAGTCTTGGGTTTTCTGTTCAAGAACATGTACCTAGCCGAAACCGGTTTGGCTCAGTGGATAGAGCATCGGCCTGCAGTCTGAAAGGTCCCAGGTTCGATTCCGGTCATAGGCATGTAACTTGGTTGCAGGCACATCCCCAGTGGGGAATGTGCAGAAGGCAGCTGATCGATGTTTCTCTCTCATTGATGTTTCTAACTATCTCTCTCCCTTCTCAATGTATAAAATCAATAAAATATATTAAAATAAATAAATAAATAAATAAAAAAGAACATGTACCTAGTGCAGGTTTAATCCTCTGCTCTGCTCTGATGGGAGAGAGCTCAGAAGACAACCAATAGATTTGTTTCTCACAGCAATATTTTTCTTTCTCTTTCTCCTCTATCCCATTCCTTTACTGCCTTCCACTCTCTCTAAAAACAGCAATGGAAAAATATTATCAGGTTAGGATTAATAAACAAACAAAAAACAACAGTTATTTTTGTTAGCACTGAATTCATGATAGAATCAAACCTCATCTCCCATCCCAAACAATTCAGTTCTCTCAACCAAATTGTTCATAGAAAATGTCTCAGTTGTCAACAAAACTTCAGTTTTCCACCTGACAGCTCAATTATGTTTTCACCTCAGCAGGTCAAAAAGTGTCTCAGATAAAAAACAAAGAAAAGAATGCTTTTGTTACTGACTAAATCAATGATTAGCACAATTATAAAACATGAAGTGATCATCAAAAGAGCTAATGTTGCCAAAACCGGTTTGGCTCAATGGATAGAGCGTCGGCTTGGGGACTGAAAGGTCCCCGGTTCGATTCCGGTCAAGGGCATGTACCTTGGTTGCGGGCATATCCCCAGTAGGGGATGTGCAAGAGGCAGCTGATCGATGACTCTCTCATCGATGTTTCTAACTCTCTATCTATCTCCCTTCCTCTCTGTACAAAATCAATAAAATATATTTAAAAAAAAAAAAAAGTTCTAAAAAAAAAAAAAAAAAAGCTAATGTTGCCGTAGCCAGTTTGGCTCAGTGGAAAGACTATAGGCCTGTGGACCTAAGACTCCCAGGTTTGTTCACGTCAAGGGCATGTACCTCGTTTGCTGGCTCTTCCCTAGCCTTGGCTTTGGTCAGGGTGTGTGGAGGAGGCAACCGATCCTTGTGTTTCTCTCACATTGATGTTTCTTTCTGTTTTTTCCTCACTCTTCTACTCTCTAAAAATCAATGGGAAAACCTCCTCTGGTGAGGATTAAAAAAAAGAGAGAGAGTGCTAATGTTGCTAAGGGTGTGGTCCGTGCAGTGGCCCCTCGTCCCTCAACGAAAGCCCGGCTGAGCACCTTTTCAAGATACGGAGACCAACACACAGTTCATTGATATGCAAAGTCAAGCTCTATTTCCCAACACCATACACAACACACCTACAGACTTCCAAACAGAAGCATGTTCTAACACGTCGGCAGTTTCACATGTTAAACACTAACGTATCCACTCTGCCGCCAGAGAACCTGCTCCAAGATACCCAGTGAAATAAAATAAAATAATAAAATAAAAACAAGAAAACAAACTACCCAATGAGAACCTCCGGCCGCCGGCACCCGCACAGGGCGCTGACGGCCATTTCCGCCATGGCCGTGCTCACTCGCCTCCAGAGGCCTCAGTGCCGTCGCCGGGCCGCACCCCCGCCCCGCCAGGCCCCGCGGCCCCGCCCGGTCCGGTCCTTCCTGAGTCCCGTCTCCCGCGGCCTGGGACCCGCTCACCTCCAGCTCTGCCCGGTCTCTGCTCAGCGCTGAAGGCGGAGCGGAGCTGTGTCCTCAAGGCCCAGGGGGCGCCGTGCGCTCCTCTCCGGCCCTGCGACGCCAGGCGCTTCCACTTCCGGGTCAAAGGGCGCGACGCTGCCCCAGTTTCCGGTTCACGGGGAACTGGTCCGCTGCACTCTGTCGGGCCAGCGCCTGGGAGGTGACAGGCCCTCTCTATGGCATTCTCCACCTTCCTCTCTGACTTTCCACCTCTGATTTCTGTGGCGGTTCATCCCCCCTCCAGTTCCGTCAGTGTCTGGTTCAATCCATGCTTGAATATCTTGAAAAGCCCCCATTTTGTTTATCTCAAATGACATTGCCTAGGGTGGGAGGGTGGGAAGAGATCAACAGGACAACGTGCAGGCATATATGCGCCATCCATGGACACAGACTATAGGGTGGTGAAGGCCAAGGGGATTAGGGGGGGAGGATGGGGATGGGGGGAGGGAGGATGGGGATGGGCAATAGGGGAAAATGGGGGGAGGGGGAATGGGGACACATGTAATACTTTCCGCAATAAAGTTTTTTTGTTTGTTTGTTGTTTGTTTTTTCAAAAAGAAATTGCCTTAAAGTCTCAGCCTGTTTTGTTAGGGGTTCTCTTAATGGCTTCTGCCCTGCCCAGTTTGGCTCAATGGATCAAGGGTCGGCCTGCGTTCCATTCTGCCATCACTATAAGCAATACACACACAGACTTCCAAACAGAAGCATGTTCTAAACGCCCCACTGCGAGCTCCATCTGTAGGGGCCGTGCAGGAGGCAGGCAATGATTCTCACCATGGACGTTTCTATCCATCCCTCTCTGAAATCAATAAAAACATTAAAAAAAAATTGCTTCTGCCCTTGAAGGAGGTGTTTCCACAGCCTGTCCTTGTCTCGTTTTCTATTTCACAAAATCATCCTGTGGTTCTCAGCCTCCACAGGTTCCCGCGCAGCAGACCAGGCCCCGCAGCACCGTTTCCCTGTCCCCGCCCCCAGGAGAGGGCGGCCTGTGGGTGCGGAGGGGCTGTCACAGGTCCGAGGCGGGCGTGCCTGGTGCTGGGGAAGAAAGGCCAGGGCTCGCTTGGGCAGCGCCTATACTGAAATTCAAGTCCTACGGAGAAGATTGGCATGGCCCCGGTGCAAGGATAAGAAAATTCGTGAAGCATTATACTAGTATTTTTTAAAAAGGCTACTATTCAACAGATCAGAGTTTGGAGCAAGGACAGATTTATTGAGGAAGGAGAAGATGGGAGAACCAATTCTCAAATCCATTTTAAGAGTGTCTGGAATCCAGGCATCTTTTATTGTTAAGGGAAAAGAGGGGGGAGCGAGTTGTGGATGCTGGCCCCTTCCTTCCATAAAATCCAGAATGTTGGAAAAGTTTTTACTCTATTTTTTGTGGGCACAGCCAGTAAAAATGTGCGTACTATGCACATTCTATGCACTTCCATCAGTCTATCGAGGATAACATTTGCTTTTTTTTTTTTTTTAAGGTTATATATATTTATTTATTTATTTATTTTATTGATTTTGTACAAAGTGGAAGAGAGAGAGATGGAGAGTTAGAAACATCGATGAGAGAGAGTCATCGATCAGCTGCCTCTAGCACACCCCCCACTGGGGATATGCCCGCAACCAAGGTACATACCCTTGACCGGAATCGAACCCGGAACCCTCCAGTCCCCAAGCCGATGCTCTATCC